ATGTGTTGGAGACCAGAGAGGGAGGAAAGCTGCCCAGAACCCTGACTGAGATGTACATCCACTTCCTGGTGGTTCAGACCAAAGTGAAGAAGGTCAAGTATGATGGAGGAGCTGAAACAGATCCACAGTGGAGTCCAGAGAGCAGGATGATGATTGAGTCTCTGGGGAAACTGTCTTTTGATCAGCTGCAGAAAGGAAACCTGATCTTCTATGAATCAGACCTGACAGAGTGTGGCATCGATATCAGAGCAGCCTCAGTGTACTCAGGAGTGTTCACACAGATCTTTAAAGAGGAGAGAGGTCTGTACCAGGACAAGGTGTTCTGCTTCATCCATCTGAGTGTTCAGGAGTTTCTGGCTGCTCTTCATGTTCATCTGACCTTCATCAACTCTGGTGTCAACCTGATGGAAGAGAAACAAACATCTAATACATCTTCATTACTTAATAAACCTGAACTAAAGTCTGTCCATCAGAGAGCTGTTGACCAGGCCTTACAGAGTCCAAATGGACACCTGGACTTGTTCCTCCGCTTCCTCCTGGGACTTTCACTGCAGACCAATCAGAGACTCCTACAAGGTCTGCTGACAAAGACAGGAAGTATCTCACAGACCAATCAGGAATCAGTTCAGTACGTCAAGGAGAAGATTAATGAGAATGTGTTTGCAGAGAAAAGCATCAATCTGTTCCACTGTCTGAATGAACTGAATGATCGTTCTCTAGTGGAGGAGATCCAACAGTCTCTGAGTTCAGGAAGTCTCTCCACAGATAAACTGTCTCCTGCTCAGTGGTCAGCTCTGGGTTTCATCTTAGTGTCATCAGGAAAAGATCTGGATGTGTTTGACCTGAAGAAATACTTGCTTCAGAGGAGGTTCTTCTGAGGCTGCTGCCAGTGGTTAAAGTCTCCAACAAAGCTCTGTAAGGACACAGATTGTTAATGCATTTTTTGATAGATAGAAATCTGCTGATTATGAGGTAAATATTCATGTTTCAATGTCTCTTATGTCCCATTGGGGGGGTGTTGCAAAAAAAAAAAACAGACTTTCTTCAGCAGCTGGACATAGTGTTACATATTAAAGCAGCAAAACTCCTTCACTGTTAAAAATGAAATAGAATTTTGTGGAATTTTATGATGCTCTTTCCAACCTCCTTGTTGCCTGTAGTTCAGTACTTTAAGGCTGTAGGTCCAACTATAGAATGAACCAGTTCACAACAAATGAAAAGGTTGTGTAAAATGAAATGGTTCATTCTGTTTCCAATAAAAACATTGTTAATTTGAAAGAACATAAACTTTTATGAATTGTTTAATAACAGATTTTCCTCCCTGTCTCCTCAGACTGAGTGGCTGTAACCTCTCAGAGAGAAGCTGTGAAGCTCTGTCCTCAGTTCTCAGCTCCCAGTCCTCCAGTCTCAGAGAACTGGACCTGAGTAACAACAACCTGCAGGATTCAGGAGTGAAGCTTCTCTCTGCTGGACTGAAGAGTCCAAACTGCAACCTGGAAACTCTCAGGTAACTCTGGGCTCTTGACAAATTGCTGCATCTTGGGTGCAAAAAGAAGCATAATTACAGATCCATCCATCCATCCATCCATCCATCCATCCATCCATCCATCCATCCATCCATCCATCCCATCCATCCATCCATCCATCCCATCCATCCATCCATCCATCCATCCATCTGTTCAGACATTGGTCTCTACCTCAATGTTCTCATTTTTTCATCATGTGATGAATTGTGTGTCTGCAGCTTATCAGGCTGTTTGGTCTCAGAGGAAGGCTGTGCTTCTCTGGCCTCAGCTCTGACCTCCAACCCCTCCCATCTGAAAGAGTTGGACCTGAGCTACAATCATCCAGGAGACTCAGGAGTGAAGCTGCTGTCGGCTGGACTGAAGGATCCAGACTGGAGACTGGAAGCTCTCAGGTATGGAGGAACCTGCTGCAGGAGCAGAGAAGGTCTGATAGAGGAGGAAGAGGGAGAAATGTCTTTAGTCAGTCTGCTGGTTTTCCTAAGGTTTGTTCCTGAAAGCTGCTGCTGGTTCCTCCAATCCAGGCTCCGCCCCTTTTAGAGGAAATCTATCCATATATGGAGCTAAGAGTCACCTTGATGCTGCAAAGCTTTGTTCAGGGATGAGATGTCAGGATGTTGGTGTCAGTCTGTTCCAGGCTTTAGTTGTTCTCCTCATGAGGAGCTGAAGTCTCTGACAGGAACGTGGAGCTGAACAGGAGAAGAACTTGAAGCTTCTTCTTGGCCTCTGATTCCAACAGCAGGACAATCCAACATTTTAGTCTGACTTCATCTTTCTTTGACCTCAATCAGTGTGAAGGCAGGTCAGCTCCTCATCAGAGCTGAGATCTTCTCTGTCCTCCATGCTGGAAATGTAGAAGTCCAGCAGCTCCTGATCAGTGACATCAGAGCATGACATCATCAGTAGAGTGATGATGTCATTTCCCTCTCAGAGCAGCTTGGAAATCTGAGAGGAAAGATGCAAACAAAACTCTCTGGACTGTTGGATTTGCTGGTTCTGGTTCCAGATGCTCCTTGGACACTTTCACAAGCCATTACTGCAGCTGCTGGATTCAGGATGCTGCTTCTTCTTCTTGGGCTCATTGTAAATGTGTGCAACGCCACCTGGTGGCGCTGGTTGGTAGAGGAAGTGCTGACATGTAATGTCCATGTTTGCTGCTGAAAGAGACTGATGGTCTGACCCCCCTCCTCCTTTCAGGGTGGAGCCTGCTGGAGGCAGATTCTTGACTCCAGGTCTGAGGAAATGTAAGTGTGTTTTTCATCTGATTCATGACAACAAAGCAGCTCACATTCAACCATCTTCAAACTGTCACATCACTCATTCAGGAGTCAAAGTGTCAATAAATGATCAATAACTGCAGATGGATTGTGTTTGTTCTCTTCATCAGATTCCTGTCAACTCACCATCGACACAAACACAGTGAACAGAAAACTCAAACTGTCTAAAGACAACAGGAAGGTGACATGGGAGGAGGAGCTTCAGTCATATCCTGATCATCCAGACAGATTTGATTACTGGTATCAGCTGCTCTGTAGAACTGGTCTGACTGGTCGCTGTTACTGGGAGGTTGAGTGGAGAGGATATGTTTATATCAGTGAGTTACAGAAGAATCAATAGGAAAGGAGACAATACAGACTGTTTGTTTGGATGGAATGATCATTCCTGGAGTCTGAGATGCTCTGATGTTGGTTACTCTGTCTGTCACAATAGCATAGAAAACTCGTCTCTCTCCTCCTCTGACTCTCACAGAGTAGCAGTGTATGTGGACTGTCCTGCTGGCATTCTGTCCTTCTACAGAGTCTCCTCTGACTCACTGATCCTCCTCCAAACCTTCAACGCCACATTCACTGAACCTCTGATTCCTGGATTTACAGTCTGGCCCAGATCTGGTTCTTCAGTGTTTCTGAGCTGATTTGAGTCTAAAGAGTCTAAAGTTTTTCCTCCTGTCAGAGAAACTCTCTCACTGTTGAACAGATAGTTCAGTCTCTACAATCTATTTCTTGGTGAAACGATTCTGATTGAGTCCTCGGAAACTTTTTCTTCTTCCAGTCCTTTAAAGATGGAAACTGGGATTATTCAGGATTATTCCAGGATCCTCATCTTTTTCTCTCTGTTTCCAGTCAAAGCTTCACACTGAATATCAAGATGTTGTTTCTCTTATTTTTTCCTTTCATTCATCAGATTTCATTGAAATATTGATCAGTTTTTCTCAATCTGATCATTTTCTGTTTCTATCGGCTCCTATTTTTCTCAACATGTCAGATTTGAATATTAAATCTTCCTTTTGTAAATTTGTTGCACTTTTCTTCCTGTGTTTTAAATAAAAAAATTTTCTTCTGTATTTGGTTCATTGCTGCTCATTCTGTTCTTTCCTGTTCAAATTTAAATATTTGCATTAAAAATATTTTTTCATCAACTCTGACTTTCAGAAAGTCCTAATTAAAGTAAAACATTCCATCCCATGAAGGTCAGAGGTCAATACTTTGAAGCATAAATTGGGAAAATCTTTAATATTAAATGTATCTAATATTAAAAGTATTAAATTCATAAATTTAATACCTATAAATAGACATAAAATTAAAATGGTTTTTCATTAAGGGATCTCCTTTAGTGTGAATGTAAAATATATATATTTGAGAAAATTTTTGTATCAAACACATCCAAAAGTTTCTAATCAAAACTATGACGATGATAATGACTAATATTATTATTGTTATTCATATTAAAATATGATGAATTTCACTTTAATCTTTACTCTCGATCGCATCAAAGTTCGTTTTGGTGTAACAGTTTTATATTTAAAACATGTGTTGCAATTACAGTCTTAATAATACTAAATAAGGTCATCTTTTAGTTTTCCTGTCTTGTAACATCAAATCAACCAGTGACTTGAACAAGAGAAAATCTGATGGTATTTTCATCAAAAATGTGTAAATATCTGCATCACCAATAGTGGCTTGCAGCGAATCACAATGAATTGCAAGAGAATCTAAATGTAAAAAACTAATTCCTTCAAAATTTGCCATCCACTGAAGTACTGTTTGTTTTACAAAATTTTAGTTTCTAATAATTCTGCAAATAAAAAAAGAACAATTATTTAAATATACTTATTTTAGTTCAAATTTTAAATATGATGTAAATAAAAAATAGCAAGCAGGCAAGAAAATATACATGTGTAATATGAAAATATATAAAATCATTCATGAACATCTAAAAAACATAAGTAGATAAAACTAAAATAGACATAAAAATAATCATATTAAATATGTAAATGGAAGTGTTTTTATCAGCTTGTAATCCTCAGACAGTTGGGTAAAATATAAAAAATAAAGGCAGCACAAATAAAAGTAAAATAAACAGAAATATTTAGAATAAATACATAAATAAAAATAGCAGAGGATAAATTCTTGCGTTATCCTGAAGCTCCAGTAGGTGGCAGGAGCGGTGTGATGAACTGCGCCGTTTAGAGCCAAAGAAGAAGAAGCAGCAGAAGCTTCCATGTTAGCAGCTTGTTAGCATCGTTGTGTTCTGCCGGTTTCATCTGTAATTCCATGGAGAAGAAGAGCCGCTCTTCGTTTCTGAGGTAAATAACATATAACCGTGAATATATCTGTGAATTCTCGTGTTTGCGTGTTGTGTTTGTTTTATAAAGTCATAACTGTGGTTAGCATTCTGTAGCATTCGGCTGTTTTTCTTAATCATCGAGCTGTTTGGTGGTTAAAACGTAAATATGATGCTGTGTCGTAGCTAATTCGGTTAAACTGTATTATCTGGAACATCATAGCTACTTGTGAACTGACGGAGGGAAAAGTTGGCTGTCTGGTTAGAAACAGAGAACAGGTTTTCTATCTGCTGCTGATGCTTTTCTAACCTGGTAAAACCAGTTATGAACCTCCAGTATGTAACTGTTGTAAAATATATACATGTTTTCTACATATTTGTTTAAACTGTGGCTATGTCAAGTCAGATGATATGAAAAAAAATCAAGCTTTTCTGTTTTCTCCTTGCGCAAACTAAAAACAGCCAATCAGAGCCAGAAGGCGGGTCTTAATGCTGTCAATCAACCTCTGTGTGGCGCTTCTCACACTGCAGCTCCTACCTGATAATAGCATAGCTTGTCGTAAATACTGAAGCTAGTTAGAATAGTCACTAATAATGCAGATAAATGGTTTTCCTATAACTATAAGTTGTTTTGTTTCCACCTCGTGGTTCTGATTGGTTGTTTTTGGTGGTGCATTTCTTCAGATGGACATAGTAGCTCTGTCTCATAACAAACTGTCACAACATTGAAAAAATATGTAAATAATAATTTTTAATAAAATGTAAGCACTGTCGCTTTCAGGACTCACTCTCCTTTCCCCTCAGGCTGGGTGAGAAGATGTAGCCAATCAGGTGGGAGATCTCTGCAGCGCCAGAAGCCTTCAGTTTTCAGATCCTCATCCTGACCCGGAGTCCTCTGTCCGTCCGTCGGCCATGTTGTTTTCTCTGAGGGAGCTGGTCCAGTGGCTGGGCTTCGCCACCTTCGAACTCTTCCTCCACCTGCTGGCGCTGCTGCTCTTTAGCATGCTGGTGGCTCTGCGGGTGGACCTGCTGAGCGACCGGCTCAGCTGGTGGCTGGTGTTCGTGCCGCTGTTCGCCGCCGACGGCCTCAGCACCTACTTCACGGCCATCGTGTCGATCCGGCTGTACCAGGAGAACGAGAAGCGGCTGGCGGTGCTGCGGCTGCTCTGGGTGTTGACGGTGCTGAGCCTGAAGCTGGTCTGCGAAGTTCTGCTGTGCCAGAAGCTGGCCGAGCAGGACCGAGCCCGAGACTTGTGGTTCGGCCTCATCGTGTCGCCGCTCTTCATCCTGCTGCAGCTGCTGATGATCCGGCCTGCCGGGTCAACTGACAGCAGAGCGGCGCCGCGAGAGATTCACCGCGCCACAGGAGAGCTGACAGAGGGAAGAAAGAAAGAGAAGGAGGAGGTTTCAGAAAAACCAAAAATCTGAAATTCTGAGATTAATTTCAGAATTTATTTTGAGAATTTCTTTTTCAACAGAAATTTTCAAATATTTGCTGAAAAATTAGTGAGAAATAACTAAAATTCTGAGATTCTCATAAATTTTCTGAAAAAGTACTCTATTTTTGAGTTTGAGAAGTTGAAAATTTCAAACATTTTATACAACAAATTTGAAAATTTTCGTGAAAAAACTCAGAAATAAGAAATGAATCTACAATTATCCAACAATTTCTGATTTTGGAAAGTAACACAAATGTAAAAAAAAATAAATAAAAAATTCAGATATTCAGAAATAAAAAAAACCCTCAAAGATCTCTGTGTTAAATTTTGAGAAAGAACTCAGAAATTGAGATTAATATTCAAAAACAAATTAAGAGAAATAACAAAAAAAATTCCAAGAAAAAAACTCAAAATTATGAGATTAATCTGAGAAATTTTCTACAAAGTGAGTTTTTCTCTGAGGTCTTCTGCTCTTTATCTTTTATGTGTTTTCTCTGATGCGCCAGCATAGAGATTTATGGATATAATTTTTTTTTTTTTTTTTTTTTTTTTTTTGACATTTTGTGAAGTTGTTCATGTTTTGAGTCAGAGAAGAAGAAAACCATCAATCAGAGGACAGAAACTCTGACTTAACTGTGCAAAGGTCTTGAGCCATTCCTCATTTCTTTACTTTTCTGTTCCATGCAGCCAAACATTTGTGTTCAATATACTGAGATTAATTTCTTTTATCCCCATTTACGTCTTATTGAAATGTTAAACAATGTAACAAGTTGAAATGTTAGTACATTTTGGAACTGAAGATATGAGAAGAATCTTCTTTTCATATCTTCTTTCATTTGTTTCAATTTTAGAAACAAAATAGAAATCTAAAATATTAAAAACATACATAATGCAGCAGATTTAGAACATTTTAAATAAAAAAATAACTCAGACGTATGACAAATTAGAGCATTTTGAACAGAGTTTGGCTCATTTTACAGTTAAATTTAGAGAAATCTGAATACTTCAAGACTGTTGCACAACACTGTCTCTTTAAATCTGTCAGGAATAAGTAAAGTTGATCAAAAGGAACTTTATTTTCTCCACAGGAAGTCACCGTTCTGCAGCTAACGGGTCATAAATCACCAAACTCTGTGTCTCCTCCATGCTGTGGCCTCGCTTAACCCGACGTTTCTCTGTAAATGTTCTGCATGTATTTATGGGATCCTTTAATTTAAAACGATGTAAAATTCAGTGTAAAATAATATATATATGTTGAATTTTTAAGGAAAAATCCACGTTTATATTTATGTTCCTCTGGTTTTTGCTGCACTACACATTGGTTATTTTGTATAGATTCTGTAAATAAAAAACCTTTAAAAAGAAAATCAACAGTTGACGTAATGGTGTACAGACAGTATTTGGCCACAAGGAGGCGCCACTCACCCAGACAGCTTCAGATCATGTTTACAAATTACTTTCTTTTATTCTTTTTAAACTATTCTCCACATCATAATAAAATACATTTCACATGTGCTTTAATATGTAAGTGATTATATTTACTTTTATAATTTTAACCTGTTAAAGCTTTATTAAAAACATTTTAAAAAACAAGTCACATGTCAGTTTAAAAAAATAAATAATTTATAATTTTTTTTCTATGTTTTCCTGTTCAAACCACAAACTTTGATGTGTTTTGTTGGAAATTTCTACATCAAATCAACAAAAATTAATAAATAATACATCAAAGTTTCTATATGACACTAAAAAATGCTGCACATTAGTGCATTATTGTGATATAGAAGGAAGAACAGATACTTTATATATGTGTCAATAAATCTTGACTAAAAATGTCCAAAAAGTCATCATTCAGTTCTGCCCCTCTAATTTGGAACAAACTTCCAGAAAACTGCAAACCTGCTGAAACCTTGAGCTCTTTTAAATCCTTCATTTCGCTTGTATTTCAGTTTTTCTGGCTCAAAGCTTTTGCAAACGTCGATGTTTAAAACAACAGTTCATGTGTGACAGTGAAAGTCCCTCTGAATGTTTCCAGAAATATTTGTGTTTTTGTTTGTTTACTTCCTTGTTTTGGTTTAATGTCCGTGAAGCCGCCATGATTGAGGAAATAAGCCTCGTTGGGTCCGAATCGTTCTCTTTGGTCGGACTGCGTTTAGTTACGGCTTTGCTTTCAATATTTGATGAGCAGCATCAATATCTGCTGCAGCGACAGGAACGGCCACTTAGTGCTGATTCATGTGCAGCAGACTGAGCAGCTCAGCTGTTCACTGGACTGGATCTCACACACACACACCTACATACACACATACACCCACATGCACACACACTTCCTAACGCCTACAAACATGAATACATTTATGAATTGTTTCCATCATTTCCTTCAATATGTATTAAAAACAAGAAATAAATGATATTATTGTATGTTTTCCACAAAATATAATATGATTTTATTAATTGAATATATTTATTTTTTTTTTAATCACACCAATCAGTTTATCTGTAGCCTTTTTAGCCCCGCCCACTGACTTTGAGTTTAAAGAAAAGTGTTAATATCGTTTTGACATATAATGAATAGATTTAACAAATTGTGCCCTTTAGAAGTTAATTAATTGTTGATTGTGAGTTTTTCCTTCCACTCAACTTTCCCTTAATAAGCTGAGTGTTTGTGCTGTCGATTTCTGATTGCGGCCATAATATAACATTATGGAAATAAAATTTGTGACATTCATTGATCTAAGATTCTATATTATAGACTTTAACATTTGTAACTTTTTTATTTATTTTATTTTTTTTGTATTTCCTTTTATTTTATTCTTTTTCTTCTGGTTTTAATGTAATTGCTGAAATAAACTCACTTTTTAAAATGATATTCGGCTTCCTAGTAGTTTTTAACATAAGTCAAAGAATATATTTTATAATTTTGCGACTTTCAGGTTTTAGTTAAATTCTTACTTATGATAAAATGAAGTTAATTTTATTAATTGTACTAAATGACATATACAAAGTTGTAGGTAACAATTATATTTAGTACAGTAATTATATTTTTTTATTAAATTTTGTTCATTTTGTCATTTTTAAATATTGGTTACAACTACTTTTCAATGTAAATACTGAAATAAATCCACTTTTTAAAAATTACGTACCAGTTTATCAATACAGACATATAAAAGTTTTAAAATAATTCAAAAAATAAGTTCTTAAATAATTATGTTTACTTTCGAGATTCATTGAAACTGTCAATATGAAAATATTACATTTCTTATGATTTCCTCAATAACTATATATTTTGTTACCATGGAAATAATTTTTTTTTATTAAACTGAGATAACTTGCTGTTTACTCAGTTAGTTTTGATAAATGCATTTTTTGTTTGTTTTCTTTCCATTTTAAGCTTCTTAGATTTTTTTTTTTTAGAAATTAATTATATTTTTGTCAAGAATAAATATTTGTTATAAATTATTTTATATGGTTTGTATTTAAAATTTATTTTTAAAAAATTACTATTTGTTTACTGTTTGCTCGATAAACGTATTTATTGTAAATATATATAGAATTAATGCCAAGTGTTTGATTGGCAGGAAGTGGGCGTGTCGTCAATTGGAGTCGACCAATCAGCGTCTGGAGGAGGCGTGGCCTCTTTCAAGGGATGTGAGGAGAAAGGGAGCCGAATAGAGAGCAGGCAGAGAGCGAGGAAAGCGGCGGAGGAAGGGATGTTTGTGTGTCCGCTGGTCGGTGCTGCAGGTACGGTCACAGCCGGATAACAGCCTCCATAGCGCCGCACCGGACCGCGGCCAGTCCGCCTCGGAGTTCCCCCGTTTTCCTCACCACCAAACGCCCACGATGTCCGGCGGGGGAGACGTCCACGTCCTCCGCCAAGACGCCGGCCAAGAGAGTCCGAGGATGCCGGCCTGGAAGCGAGAGATCCTGGAGAGACGGAAGGCGAAGGGCGGCGTTTCCGCGGGCAGCCCGGCCCCGGAGCCGAGCCCCGGCGGCGCCGCGGGGTCGCATCACGTCAACGGGGATGTAGCGGGGAACGTGAACGGTAACGGCGGTGGTGGCGCGAGGAGCGGCGCGTCCGGCCGGAACTACACCATCACCACGGCCAGCCAACATTTCGCCAACAACAAAGAGCCCCGAGCGGCGGCCGAGAGGACGGCGCCGAGGGAGAGCCTGGTGCTCCAGGAGAGTCTGGGTCCGCTGGAGGAGAACCCGTTCATCAAGCTGGAGAAGGAGCGCCGGAAGCGGCAGGACCGGGAGAACGCCGCCCGCCCGGTCCAGCACATCCTGGAGCTGTACGGGAGCGTCCCCGGGATCCGAACCATCCGGGCCGACAACATCATCATCATAGAGTCGGATCCGGACTACTTCCCGGAGGCCGGAGAGAGTAAAGGCTGGCAGCAGAACGGGGTGGACACCTACAGCTCACTGAACGACCTTCTGGACCGGAGAGGCAGCGCCGTGACGGAGATCAGAGCCAAGGAGGTGGTCATCTACGACACCACGCTGAGCCGGAGTGAGGAGAACCTCAGCACCCTGGGCCGCCCTGACCCCGATGGCCCCAGAGACGCTGGGGAGGGCCAAGGCCGGGTCAGCCGGATCCTCCAGAAGTTCGACTGCAACTACGGGAAGCTTCAGAAGAAGTCGCACAGCACGGAGAACCTTCTAGACCTGGATTGTAGTGCCAGTGCCAGGCCAAGACATTGGGCCAAGCCACAGCCAGATCTGGTGCCAAAGCCCAGGCCAAGTCCGAGCGTCAGCAGCCAGCCAACATCACCCGTCTTTCAGACTCCTTGGACTTCCAAAGCAAAGCCACAGCCGGAGCTCCACCCGGGATCACCCCAGCCTGTGTCGTCCTTCCGGCAGAGGTTTGAAGGGGGCGTCGTCCCCAAAGACGAGCCAGACAGAGGGCAAAGCAAGCCCACCAGGGAGCGCGACTGGGAGGCCGTGGAGGTGTCCCCCAAGCCCAAGGTGCCATGTTCTCCGGAGACCCGCCGTGCCCGTGCCGAGTCCTCCTCACTGCCCATCTCTTCGAAGGTCTTGCGTGCGACGTCCGAGTTTGAGATCCGTCCCTCTCCGAAGCCGGACATCGACCAGATCCCAGAGGGGGACACCCAGGCTCGGGCCCTGGCAAACCTCCGTCTGCAGTCCAAGAACTCCTTCACGGTGGTCCCCAAGAGAAACTTGCAAGCCTCGCCTGCGGCCACCAGCCCCAGACCACCAAGTCCGACCAAGTCCTCGCCCTTGCCAGGAGTGCCAACACCCCCCTGCTCCCCAACGAAGAAGAAAGAAGAGAAAGTTCAGGAGAAGAAGGAACCAGAAGCACCTCCTTCTCCTTCCTCTCCACCAGTCCTGACCTCACCAGCCTCACCAGTCTCTCCGACTCCGAAGCAACCCCCCGTGGACAAACTGCCGGTCACAAACATTGACGACATTGAGGTGGAGTCCCCGCAGCGTGTCCCGGTCCCCAGCCCCATGGTGCAGAGGAAAAAGGGCAACACCTTCACCGTGGTGCCTAAACGATCGGCGGACCCCCAGAAGAGCCCACCGGAGCCCCAGCAGGAGGCTCCGGCCCAGGCCCCGCCGGGGTCCACGCCCCCGCAGCCCCAGTACGCCCAGCTGGGCAGCCTGCTGAAGAAACGCTACCCTGCTGTGGAGGAGATCCAGGTCATCGGAGGGTACCTGAGCCTGGCCAAGTCCTGCCTGTCCAAGACCGGCTCTGTGGGCAAGAAGGTGAGAGGAACTCTGCTGGTTCTGAAAATATTCCAAAACAGAAACATCATCAATATTTATGTGTGGATAGAGAAAAGAGGAGTACATTTCTTCCAAAAATCTCAGAAATGTTTAGATTAATCTCAGAAATTTTTGAGGATAAAACATTGACAAATAAATAGAATTGTTTTAATTAAATCAAAACTTCTGAACTTTTGTAAATCTTCCAAAGAATCAAAAAGGTTCTGCTTTTTTCTCAAATTTTTAGACTTTTAAAAATAAACATATTATTTTTCTTCCCAAAATATTGCAGGACTTCCTGGAAAAAGAACCCAACTTTTTTCTGACCATTTTAATTTTTACTTTTTCAAATCAAATAAAGAATTTTGACTTTTTCTCCTCAGAATTAAGACTTTTTCAGAAATGTAAAGAAAAGTCCAAACTATGAGAAAAAAACATCATAACATTAAGAAATTAAAGCCAGAATTCCTTTTTTTTTTTGTCTCATTGGCACTGATGGTCTTCCGTACAGATCAAACCTTGAAGAAAACACAGGAAATCAGTGGATTTTCTTAAGTCTTTGCAGAATAAGAAAGTATTTCTATTCTAGTCTGGATCTTCCTCTGATCTAAACTAGGAAGTGTGACGTCACACAGGAGTGCTGCACCTGTCTGTCCAGCCAAGCTGTGCAGTGTGTGTGTGTGGGTGTGTGTGTGTGGAGCTAAATCTCTTGCGTCCAATCTCTGGGTTTGCTGCGGCTCTTTATGTCTAAGTGGATTAGCGGTGTGTGTTTACACAGCCGTTTGGAGCAACTCGCTGTGCTTTTCTACTCTTTTTGTTTCATTGTTTTTGTTTGCTGTGTGTGTGTGTGGTGTGTGTGTGTGTGTGTGTGTGTGTGTGTGTGTGTGTGTGTGTGTGTGTGTGTGTGTGTGTGTGTGTGTGTGTGTGTGTGTGTGTGTGTGTGTGTGTGTGTTGCTGTTTCAGGTGGCTCCGTTAACTGACCGATCTCATCTACATGTCCTGCTTCCTAAAGAGCAGCATGTTTACTCCTGAGGCATTTTTATATATATTTTTAATTAAGTCATGAATCATATTTAGGTTTTTCTTTAAAAATCACAGCTCTGATTCCTCCCTGCTCCAGGCTAATCGTTTCTGACTCACGTGCTTTTGGGATTAATTAAGTATCAGGGAGTGTTGCTAATTAATTTTGCGAGCCGCTGCAGGGCTGATGTCGGATTGAGGACTGCATGTGAAGCTTCATTTCCTGTCTGTGATGCTTTTTGATGCTGCGGTTGCAGCACAAACCTCATCCTCTCGTCAATGTTTTCACGTTCAACCTGAAACTGTGAGGCGTTTAAAGTCGCATATACTCTCCTGGATTTTCCTCCATCTGTTTTCCTTTGAGCAGGAACATCTCCTGTTTCTGCTCAGAAACCACAGCATGATGCTGCCACCACCGTGTTTCTATAAACTTTTAAACCTTTGCAGTTCATTTCAGTTTTTGGTTCATAGGTTTTAAAGTCTAAAAGATCTGAATGCTGCCAATTAACAAAACCTTTTAAAAAAAATTTTCAGATTAAATTTTTTAAATAATTTAATAATTAATAATTTGATGATCAGAACCTTTAAACGTGTTTCTGCAGCCTGTGATTCTGTTTCAGCCTCTCGCACTTTGACCTTCTGTCTGGTCTCTCAGCTGCTGCAGCTGAAGATGCTTCAGAAGCTGCAGCTGCTGCTGCAGCATCTTTCTGCTCGTCCTGGTCGTGTTTTTGCTCGTCTCGGAGCAGCCCGGAGGTTTGGGCCCGGCCCGGATTCTTTCTGAGGTTTTTCTCTCTCTGTGTAAAACCAGAGCGGCCGCACCTCAGAGTTCTGGTATTGAGGATTTTTTTTCCCCCTTGAACATATAAAACTCTTTTAAACGAGCAGCTTGGCTTAAACCCCATTCCCATCAGAAACCTGACTCCTCTGCTTCCTCCCAGCCTGATTCCTGGCGTTTCCATTGGACCGTTTGGAGGAAAACGGAGTTGGAGCTTCTGTATGTAGGTCAAGAGCAGCTTCTCGTTCCACGTCACTCCTCCATTTGCATAAAATCGCTCAGAGTTTTTGGGTTAAACAGACCAGGATTGACTTCCTCTTAGCACAGTGCCTGGATTTCCTGCCGGTTTAATGGAAGCTGGCAGAGCCTCTTGGAAATGATAGACGTGGCTGCAGAGAGTCGTGGAGGCGGCAGGGTTTGTTTTTGAAGTTTCTCTTCCCTCTAACTGCTGGTTATAACGGGAGAACGAAGATGCAACCAGATTTTTGTCACTTTTTCCAGAGTTTTGCTCTGTTGATTCATTTAGGTTCCTGTTTTTGGAGGATTGGCCGATTTGTTTCACTTATAAAGTCTTAATTGTGGCATCGATTAATCGATTAATTTGAAAAATGTGATTCGACAGATTTTTTTATTTAACCATGCAAATCTTTTACATTATTTTAGAAATGCATTAAAGACAAATAATCACATTCTTTTTTTTTACCATATAACCTTTATGCGTCTGTACTTCAGTTAACGATTAATCAATTAATCGAATATAAAGAATGAAACATTCTACAGAGTTTTTATTTAACTACTAAGGCCATTTTAGACAATATTAGAAATGCATTAAAATATGCAAATAATGAAAGCTCTTTTATAAAATAAGAACATTTTATGTCCCAAAAATGCAAAAAATACAATTCCTTTAGTGAATTTGAACCGAATGAAGCTAACGCTAAACCACATTTACAGATGAAGGTGTTTTTATCCTAAATGCAAAATGTATGATTTTAGTAGCTTTGCAATTACGGCTTTGAATATGTTATTTGTATATTTTTGTTTTTAGAGTTTGTTTTATTACTAAACGACTTAATTCAACTAATTCTAGTTGATTATTTAAATAATCAACTAGAAGCCTTATTTGAGTCTATATTCAGTTAAGAACTAATTTACTCCTAAATTAGTCCACAATTATTAAATAATTGATTAATCCGATTAATCATAATTAATTTGATTAATCATTCGTGGTGTTTTTAGTTTTTTTGCCCATTATTCTTTTTTCCCCAGTTCCCCTCAAAGAGGCGTTAAACAAATGGAGCCGCTCGTTTTCCCACGGCTCCGAAACTCGTCCTCTGACCTCCAACCACAACTTCCAAACTCTGCGGTGCGTTTCCATCAACATTTGGATGCGAACGCCGAGATTAGCGTGTCTGACGAGGCGTCCATGTTTCTGCTGAACCGGTTGGAAAACCAAGCCTTGTTCTTTCATTTGACTCACAGCCGTTCAACCTCATAACACAAAAGCAGCATTTGGATATGTAAACACTCCGAACAACAGGGCTACATATAAATGTGACTTTATGGGAAGCTACTTTTACTGCGGATCACTTTGTTCTGTTTTAGTCATGACATTCTGATGGTGCACAAATACTTAATTTAGTCGTATAAAACCAAGATTTGGAGCAAATATGTCAATTTGTTTGACATAATCTCATTATTTTTGATAATTATTATTATTACTGCAAATACTGTTCATTGTTGAGCTGTAATAGTTCTGCAACATACATTTTTGTCTCGCTTCCCTAAATATTTTTTTTTTCATATGAGATCCATTTTTATCAATTATTAAATTTTGCTCACTCTCTTTTATTAAATAGAAATAAAAGGAAATGTGTTTTCTTATTCCAATCATCTCTTCTGTTACTTGTATGATGAGTGTTAGAGCCAAGAATAAAGTCAGAATATTGATTAAAAAATTAAATCAAAAGATGAAATTTTACCAGGAAATTTATCTAAAAATGACAAAAAGAAATTATTTTCATGCTGATCACATAAAATCACTACTTCATTCTGCTAATATTCTGATTTTATTTTATTAAAACACAATCTTAGCATGGCTCTAATACTCCATCACAGACTTGACCTGAATCCAAAGTCCAAATGAACAGAAGCTGTAAAACAAGATGGCGGCTTCGGGTGTGATCACATGACTGAACATGGGAACCCAATGAGCGCATTGGTGAAGAAAAATTCAGATTTTCCAGAAACTGACTCTTAAGCAAACCAACTATTAGATGAATCGATGACGATTCATCGCCCTTTCTTGGCTTTGGTCTCAACCCGGCCTTGGTTTGGGTGGTTTGACTTCAACACCGTCTAGTTTCTCAAACCTTTGGTTTAAAACATTGGCTTATTGTTCAACATGCCAATTGTCTTTTACTCCACATTGAATTGGCTTCACAGGTCATCAGTGAAACCTGGTCGTTTCTCTAGCAGTAGAAAGTTGTGTTGACGAGTTGTACTGAGTTCCCCAATGATTTATGGCATTAGATGTGAAGCAAGGATTATTTTTGGTAAGCAGAAAGGCCAGTCCACATGTTCTTGGAACAGGAAGGCTGTTTGAGTTGGACTGAAACCTCCAGCCGTCAAGGAATGACCAACCGCAAGACACTGTGGGATCCTTTGAAATGTGGTGTCAGGTTTTAGTCGAATGTGTTCTCCAGGGAGCCGAGGAATCCAGACTTCCCACCACCTCTCTGGCAGCGCAATGTCACATTTTCCTTTCTTTTTCTATTTTTTGTTACTTGATTTCGAACTTTTTGGTTCTCGTCTCTGTAGTTACAACTTCCACACAGAGAGTTGTTGGTAGCACAATTTTGCTAGCACGGTCCGGTCATTGATCGGGGAGTGAAGTGACCAACTGTGGGATCTTGGGAAATGCGGTTTCGGGGTTGGAATCCACGTGGTTCCAAGAAAACGTTGTTTTTAAAACGTCACACTAAAGCAAAGCTTTGAGAATATATATGCAGCTTCATTAACAACAAATCTGTAATATGTTGGTAGAAAACAGGCAAGACGGTGTTCGGATCATTCCTCTTCTTCCTGTTTTATCAGTCATACTTGCATTTTCCTGAATTTTCGATACAGTTTATGGATTTTTGCTTTGCTCCTCATCCACCCTGGAGGGTTAAATATACCCCGAATGGTTAAAAGCTCCCCGTAA